TTTTATCAAATGGATGTTAAAAACACATTTCTAAATGGAACAATTTCAGAAGAAGTTTGTGTAAACCAACCACTTGGCTTTGAAAACGATTTGCTTCCATCTTATGTTTTCAAATTAAACAAAGTTTTGTATGGACTTAAACAAGCACCAGGAGCGTGGTACGAAAAATTAAGCTCTTTTCTAACAAGAAATAACTTCATAAGAGGAAAAATTGACAGCACCATGTTTAGGAAAGAACTAAAAGATGATTTCATAATAGTTCAAATCTATGTAGATGACATAATATTTGGAGATACTAATGATAATCTTGTCAAGAGTTTTCTAAGCTTATGAAGGATGATTTTGAGATGAGCATGATGAGAGAACTGAAGTTCTTTCTAGGACTCCAAATCATCTAGTCAGACAAAGGAATCAAAATTCATCAGATGAAATATACAAAAGAGCTACTAAAGAAGTATAGGACGGATGATGCAAAACCAATGAAGACTCCAATGCATCCATCCATAATTTTGGGTCTGGACGAAGACTCACCAGATGTAGATAGCACTATGTACCAAGGAATGGTAGGCTCACTCTTGTACCTAACGGCATCCAGACCTGACATCATGTTCAGCGTCTACGTCTGTGCCAGATTTCAAATAAGACCTAAGGAGGTACATTTACAAGCTATTAAACGTATTCTGAGATATCTGTGGTGGCTGATCCTCATCATGTGACGGAACACCGTCTTCATCGGTTGTCGGCTCAGGGGTTGGGGGTACATCTCCTTTAAACACCCATTTATCTTCCTGTTTAAGCATCCCCATGTGATGCAAGAAAGATTTCTCAATCTTGTTCGAAGCATGTAAAATTATTTTTCTTTCCCCTGTCAAGTCCACCCCTACATTCTCAAAATTTTTTTACAACAACAGAGCATACGGAATCAGTCCATCTTCCTTCCGTCTTTCCTTCCACATAAAATCATTTACGACTGATACCCAATCAATATTGATTTTCTTTTTAATCACATGCATCAATAGAATGTCATCTCTTGACATTTGAGCATGGTTATGTAAACGAGGTTTCAACATCCAAGCAATAATAAAGGAAATTAAACGGGAATTCTTTTTCATACCTCCCGCCAGAAATTTCTCATAGTTGGTATTCACCGGATTCCAAGTAAACCCATGATAATAATCGATTATTTGGGTAATAATCAATTATATGGGAGATGAAGAATTCAAAGAGCCACTGGAATAATCGATTATTTGGGGAATAATCGATTATCTGATAAGAATCTTAAGAGTCACTGTTATAATCGATTATCTAGGAAAATAATCGATTAACTGGGAAGAAGAATCTGAAAAGCCACTGGAATAATCGATTATCTTGAAAATAATTGATTATCTGGGCAGAGTGAGGAAAAATAACCCTCTGGAATAATCGATTATTCCAAAAATAATCGATTATTCATATCAGATTATGTTTTCAAAGGGATTTTGCTAATGCAAATAATCGATTATTTGCATAAATAATCGATTATCTGGGTGACTTTTGAAATTTCTGAAGCATTTGAATGGTTATATACGTGCCAATCCCTCAAAACCACCCATTACTCTTAAAATCTCTCCCACTCAGAAGGTGGTAGGGCAAAACCTCTCAAAACCTCTCTTTCTCTCATTTTTCTCACATTCTCTCAAACCCACAAACCCTAACCCTCTCAACTCTCTCATTCTCTTCTTCTTCTTCAAGACCCACTCATGGCATCTTCATCAAAGAGACCCAAGAAGCTTGAAGTGAGGGGGAGCAAGCGCCCTCTACCCTCAGGGCAACTGATTTCAAAATGGTTCCTGGATGAGAAGACTCAAGAGTATTATTTTGAGTGGTATGCGGGGCGGAGAATCATTCCTCCTAAGACCCTTAAGCTGGAATGGTTTAAAAATGAAGGTTTTAGTTTCCCAACCCTGCTGGAGCACCAAGAACTCGGGAAGTTTTTGGAAATAGAGGGACCATATTACCCTGAGTTGATCAGGTTATTCCTCTGTTTTGCCACAAGCAATAAGGGTATCATGCAATCAGTGGTGAAGGGGAAAATGATTAAGCTGGACGGGCCAACATTGAAGGCTGCTGCAGGGCTGAGCGGAACGGGATGAGAGAAACCCCAACCCTTCAATTTTGGGGACTTTGAAGAACTGACAACCTTCCGGGAATGTTAGAGGAATCCGGTGAATACCAACTATGAGAAATTTCTGGCGGGAGGTATGAAAAAGAATTCCCGTTTAATTTCCTTTATTATTGCTTGGATGTTGAAACCTCGTTTACATAACCATGCTCAAATGTCAAGAGATGACATTCTATTGATGCATGTGATTAAAAAGAAAATCAATATTGATTGGGTATCAGTCGTAAATGATTTTATGTGGAAGGAAAGACGGAAGGAAGATGGACTGATTCCGTATGCTCTGTTGTTGTAAAAAAATTTTGAGAATGTAGGGGTGGACTTGACAGGGGAAAGAAAAATAATTTTACATGCTTCGAACAAGATTGAGAAATCTTTCTTGCATCACATGGGGATGCTTAAACAGGAAGATAAATGGGTGTTTAAAGGAGATGTACCCCCAACCCCTGAGCCGACAACCGATGAAGACGGTGTTCCGTCACATGATGAGGATCAGCCACCACAGGTGGAAGCTGAACCTGGCAGGGAGCCAGAAGCGGAGCCGAAACCATTCTCGCCTTTTGAGAAAATCATAATAAATAAGATTGATGCGGTGATGGAAATGTCTCGAGGCATGAATCTTTATTTTTTGGTATTCTTGATAGGTTCGATGATCTTGATCATGAGGTGAAGCTGCTCAAGACTCACCTAGGCATACCTGAAGATGAAGATTGATTTCTGTTTTGTTGATTAGTTTAATTAGGACTTTTAAATTCTGTTTTGAACTATCATTTCAATATGGTTGTAATATTTCTTGTAAGTCTGGAACAATTTTTAATGCTTTGTGTTGTTGAACAATTGAAATTCTGGTGAAATTTGAAGTTTATCTTGCTGATATGATGGCTTGAATGAGGCACCAAATTTTGATTTGGTTGGCTGGTGCGTTGATGCTCTAGTTTTGAGCATATTTGTTGATGTTCTATTTTTTAAAATTTGGTATCTTGTGTGTTTGTGAGCCAATTAAGCCATGGTTGATTGCTGATTATAATGCTCTGTTTTGAGTATGAATGATTACTGGTATATTGTTGATGTTTTTGTGTTGAAAATTTATGAGTTGTAATTTGTATCTTGCAATTTTTGATTGATCAAATAATTCTGGCTGAGATGGTGT